CACACACACACACACACACACGACCAACATCCATTTGCAGCGCGGCATTGGATGCGCGACCTTTGTATCGAGACGTTGAGTCGATACGAGCTTAAACCATCTCGGCCATCTGGTCTTACTAATCTTACAGTGGGATTGACCAGTTTTTCAAGTATGAAATGTCAAAACACGAACATATAATATCTGAAGTGTATTGCTTCGAACACATACAAACTGAATATGCCAATGTTTCAAATATAATGCCTTACAATACATTTGTCTTAAAGTTCATCAGTTCTCAAATACTATAATTCAACTGTATAATAAAACAAAATAACAATTTGTATCATATGTAAATAATGTATTATAGTTTGTGAATTGTAAAACTTATTAACTTATAACACGTTTTGGGTTGATTTATATTAAACAATGTGCATACTGAGTTCGTATGTGTAGGTAGCGATACACTTTGGTTAGGTTTCTATGGTACGTAGTTTAGCAATAAACATTCTTGTATTCATTATTAAGGAGATTCAATTATGGTTTAAAAGACAACTGATTTGATACTAGGGATGCTTGTAGAACATTTGTCTACCTACCTGATTTAACGTTTACATAATTTTGTGGATAACCTGCTACAAGCCGTTTTAGAGTAGTGCTTCTCGTATTTGTTCTTTAAACTTTCATCACGGTACATCTATCCCTTCCGGTGTTAATTTTCAATTTTCTGGGGCCACCTATTTTGCAGCTCCAAATTTAAAACAATAACTGTTGTGTATAGAATAGACATTTCATTTTTACCAATTTAGTTATTTTTAACAAAGTTATTGTGTTTCCATATTTTGTTGCTCCTGTTTTAATTTTATCTTTTCACTTTCCAACTGACGGTATAAGCCAGCGATGAATAATAGGTAATCAATTTATTTTCTTTCGTGGTGACACGAATGATGTTGTCCGAAGTGACAATTGCTTTAGTGGGAGTGGTAAAAGAAAGATCTTTCAGACAACGAAAAATGTAAGAAAAACAATGTCCTGAACACGAAAAATAACTTTGGTAATTTGGATGCTTTTTTTGTGATGGCGATTACTGTCAAGGTAGTGCACTAGGGTAGTTAATATATGATTTATTATACTAATGGTGAACTTAATTTCGTTCATTCAAAACAAAAACGAAAAAGAAACGTTGTTGGCTTTGTATTCGCAACCATTTCCCTGTATTTATAATTGTATTCTCAGAGGCATTCAAAATGATGATCACGAGACATGCAACCACGGACCCAATGGGGAAGGCGCGCCACACATCACCTAAAATTCCATATCCATTAGCGTCCTTGGCGTCACACAGTAAATTACAGGGAACAGACTTGGACCAAAGACAGGTTAGCCTGCGCACACGATAAGATAAACAATAACAGAATATGCGACGAGAAACGCCGGTACAGACCGTGACAAGGTGTGTCGATAAGTCCTCGATCTGTCAAGATAGTCCGCCGTAGCAATATGTGCACAGAATTCAAACATACGTGCGTTCGTTGGTCAGTTTGCCTAATATGCAACGTCTATTTGGACTTGAGGGCAGGCTGCGTTTGCTATTCGGGCTGGGCCGACCCATTTATCGGAACATCCGCGGCAGGTAGAGTAATATATCCATTTGGAAGACGCATCCATCTCTCACGAAATGTAAACTCGCATCTTTTGCATGCCAGATTGCACCTATGGGAGAGCAGAGGATCGTTTCTTTCTTTGCAGCAATTCGGTCGTTTCTTTGTGACAGTTGTTGTTTATTTGCGGCAGTTTTGAAATGATGGATTAATAAAATAACTATAAATCGTAAAGACATGAACGACGCTCTTATGTTAACAACTTTATTTCACTAAAGAAAATATTCAGCTATGCGAGACATTTCAAATAGACTACTGAAACGTTGATGTATTTATTTGGAAGTCAAGTTGAAATAGAATGATTTCATTTTTAGCGACAGGTCACGACTGTATAAGTGTTATTCAGCACACATTATTATAAAATTATTGCAAATAACGTAATGTTATAAACATTTTAAAAAATATTGATAAAATTTATTACGACGGTTTAGTTCACAATAACACAACGAACGTCTTCAAACAATCAATATTGGGAAGGAACATTTCTGCTTTAAGATCAATTTCATTCAAATTATTCGGTTACTAAAAGAACATTAAATAATTCATGTCGTGTATCCTTTCAATACAAACTAACTACTTAGTTTATTGGACACTCTCTAAAACAAAACAAAACGAAACGAAACGAAAGAAGAATCCGGAAACATCTCTGATAACCAGTGCTCTCCCAACAAGTGAGCGCAGACCCTTTCCTACCTGGCGATAAGTCGACGAGTTCCTTTCGTAGCAGCGAGGCTCCGGTCACACAAATCCCCGCCTGCGCCCCGCCTCTTCACAGCACACCACACTCAATCCTCTCTTGGCCTTCTTCTCCACCACCTCTCCCCTCCCCCCTTTTTCACCACACGCACCACTCTGGAGCACCAGGGCAGCACCACTTGGCGCGCGGCACTCGGGCGACGACGGCGTTGGTGGCGCCGGCGCGGGCGCGTGCGCCCATCGCCCGGGCGACGACGGGGCGAGCCGGTGCGCGCGGCGACTCGCGGGGCGATGTCAAGCTCCAGCGGGGCCGCCGCCCGGCGTCGTGGTCACGTGCACGCCGGTGGTCGGCGAGGGAGGCGGCGCCACCGCAGCGGGCACGGGACGGAACCGACGCGAACGCGCGGCGTGAGGCCCGACGACAGAGCGAGCACCCGGAGCGCTAGCCAAGCGACCTCCTGGCCGCCCAGCGCGCAGGTCGCGGGAAGATCGCGGCGGCGGCGGCGGGGCGCGCGGCGGCGGCGGCGGCGGCGCGGCGCGGCGGCGGCGGCGGCGTGCGGCGGCGGCAAGCACGCGCCTGCGCACAGCGCCGAGCCGCGCGCCGCCGAAGTCGGCGCCTCCGCCGCGCCGCGGCCGCAGCAGTGGGCCGAAGGCGCGATACAATCCCATTCTCCAGCCCCAAGTGGCCATGGATTTAGTTAAAAGTTAATTTTAGTTAGTATATATTTAAGATATGCCCGCACAAGCTGTTAAAATCTTATCGATTGCAGGTGTTATTATTGTATCACGAATGAAAAATATATTCCCGCCTCCCCAGGGCAGCTGGAGAGGGGAAAATCGAAAAAAAAAACTTCTCACACAGTGTAGGGTTGCCATAGGGATAAGAATGGAATTCCGGACATTATGTTTCAGAACAAATTGTTTACTTTTATACTCTCATTGTATAATTCTTTTGTCGATTGATGTCTACAATCCGTTGCATAGTGATATTCAATACGACATTGATTTAATTGTCATACACATTTTTGACCAATCACATAGATGTTGACAAAAAAATAATGATTCTTAATTAAAAATTGAGAGTCGTTCTAGTAAATATTTCTTTCGATTTTGCATATTAAAATTGCGTTGAATATTATACTATGCTTTATTTTTAGCATTTTTTACGTGACGTGGAATATTATTTAAAATAAATTGGATTATAATTTCACTTGGATTCTAATATACTAGCACAGTGATGAACGGAAGACATCTGTGTAGGGTAAGGTAGGGCGCGGTCCACAAGGTGGCCTTGACTAAATGCTGCATGCCAACTGTCACAAAACGATTCAAATGTTTAAATTATAAAAGTTACCATAAGTCGTAGAAATAGTGCTGCGTGAAACTCGATATAATGGGTATTCATATACTCATGAGATGTTTACGATTCTCGCTCCTTCTTCGCTCGAATCGTTATATCACATTCGAGTATTAATAGTCATTTACATAATCGTTTCATAAAATTTTCATAACTATTTTATACGACTAAATAATGTATCGAGTAAACCGTATAACAGTGAAATAGTATATCAAGTAAACAAATAACAAATATCAAGTAAATAAATACCGTCGACTCCTATTATAGAGAACTGCTGGGGACTAACATTTTAGGTTGACTACACCAGATGATATTAAAATTAAACATAATTTCTCCACAAGGATTAATGTTATAAATATACAGATATAGCAAAATACATTAACAGCGCCAACTCAAAATTTCATTATCTTTATTTGACCTTAAAAATAAATGGTTTTCAATTGTTTGCTTCGTATTTTTTTTAAATTAGTAATTTCTCTACATCTGTCTCGAGTTCGTACTCTTTCCATACTTGAGCATTGTTCTCTGTATGTGAATATCGTAACGCAGTCCTGACACCTTTCAACGCCTTTCGCACTGTCGGAACACCGTCCAACGAAGGCACTTCACTCGACAAATGACATGCGAGGTCCTTTCGGTAGCGGCATGGCTCAAACGGCTAATGAAACCGATTGCTGATTGAATCATTCTGGGTCCGCTATATCCACTTCAGGACCGACTTCTTCGATTCTGACCTTTGGCCGACAATATTATTTTCAAGGACATATTTCCAAGATTCAATACAGCCGAGGTTCAGAATCCTCTTGTGCTTCTTTGAACCGAATCTTCTTGTGCTTCTTTGTAATGCAAGTGAAGCGGGTCCAGTGACTTAAATTCATTATACCCGATAGTTCACTATATATGAATTCACTATAACCGGAGTTGATTGTAGTAGACCACGGTGCATTACACTGAACACTTTCAAGAATAATAGGGTGGACTCTTTTTATAGGACCAATTTTCCTGATTTTTTTCAGGTTATCTGTGCTCATTTCGTTATTTTTCCATATTAAAATTTGTGAAAGATTTCAGGGTATTTAAATAAAATATTAAATCATGACTTTGGTGGATATTAACACACTGTTTTTGGCAGAGCCCTTCTGGCTTTTGCATTCCACATTTCGCCATTGCACTAACACGTTGTGAGATGCAGATGCACTTCGATTCAAATCACACAGTGCCTTTCTTTATCAGTACAGTATTTCTTTCATTACATTTTGCAGAAACAAAGGAAACTCTGGGGGGAGAGCGGGACACATGTCGATATTCAGGACATATTCCGCTGTTTTTACAATGTGTAGCAACTCTAACCCCTAGGAGAGATTCATGCACAGCATAACCTTGGATTGCGAGCATGTTCCGTTTCGCCTGGAAACGCGCCATCTAAATTCCTCGTGGATTGAAGTGAATTTTCCCATAAGAAATAATGGAATGCAGATGATTCGCTCACAATACAACACTTCGTAATAATTCATAGAGTTATTAATACAAAGTGCTCTGGGCCTTATGTAGTAAAAATGCCTATTAGTTGAACTTACATCGAGGGAGACGAGATAAATTTCAGAAATAAGGCAAACAAGATGACAGAGAAAAATATTCCTTTAATTAATGTATTTAATTTATCACTTTTTTAAAATATATCTATTAAGGTACAATCGAATATCCCCTCGATGTCAGAGAACATTCAAAATTACTTCTCAGTTATGACCGACAGTTGTCATTATGGTACTGATATCGCGGCCTGAAGCTCAAAATAATAAATAAATGGATCATAATGGTCCTTAGCTGCTGAAAGGGAGCATTACTGTGTATTCACAATGTTCTTTCTGCTTGTAATCTACGGTTCGCAAAGTATTGTATTAGAAAACAAACAAAATACTTATGTATATATGTATGTATTTTTCCAAAAATGAGTAAGAAAATATAGAAAATAACATGAAATACAGATTTATAATGGTATTAAAATTTTCTACTCGTACATTTCCAAATTTTTGATCAAGAAACTTCGCCGATCAACCTTTAAAATGGATTCGGAACGGCTGGGCGAACGTTTTATACCGTCAGAAGTATTGTGTTTGGACACTGCACCAGAAGATAGGAGATTTATTCGAAATGTAATACATGAACGTACCACACACTTACAATGTTGTCTGTGAGGGGTCGACGTGCACGTGAAAAATCGAACCGTGTAGTAAGTGGCGGATCCTTATCCACCCCCCGGCAACTTGTTTCTTTGTACTAGGTATTGATGGCATCATATTTCAAAGAACTATTTGCATTACGCCACCTTCTTGCGTTAAGCCACAGGGCATCAGTTGATGTCATTGTTGCGCCTCTGACTGGGAAGTCGTAGGGTTCGAGTCCCGACGGCAGAAGGATTTTCGGCACCGGCTAGAGGCTAGCCGCTTCTGGCGCAAAATTATTGAAGCCGGCCGCTCTGATTTGTAGCTTGCTGCGCTTTCTCCGATCAACACGAGGTGAATGCCGGAGCAGTACTCTAAGAGACGGGCCAAGGACCGCGTGCTATCATTCCTTCCTCGTCCTTGTCCTACCCTCACCCCTTACTTACACACACTCATAGTTCCCTGCGCTACACTACCACACACGTTGGAAGACCAGCGAGTGTATCGGCTAGGGCGGTGCCTTCCACGATAAAACATACACTACACTTACGGAAACTTAGATGTGGTGGTGCATGGTTGGTGCAGAATCACTAATGAACCAATCAATCGCATTAAGACCGAGTGAACGACATTTCGTAAGTAAGTTCCGAATTTGGCATCTGTGACAGAGATTTAGCAGCTGCACGAGTCTCGGCAGGATGCAGGAAATGCGATAAAACAATGGACTCTTAAGAAATGTTTGCCCAATTGGGATTGAATGTCGTATAAGTCCTATAAATCATGCACCAACTCGCGTTAATGCTTATAAGTACACATCCAATGCAAATAGTTTCAATTTATTAAAGAAATAGAAAATGTTTGAATAAAACAACGGGATCACTTTGTGAGCCATTGCCAATTTTATTGAGTATGACGTATCCCCTGTCTATTGATGTTCTTTTTAAACTCTATTTTTGCTTAAAATATCGTGAAATTTTGGGTAGTAAATTCCAGTTCAGGAGAAAGAATCCGCAGAAGAGCCTTAGTTTTGGTTTTATTTCTCTTTTGTTTGTAAAACGAATTCATTCGAGTTTTACTGAAACATATGTTCACTGGGAGAAGTCTAGATTTCTTTTGTGCTTTTGGCTTAGTGCAACTTTTGCACGCCGTATTCTAGGGGCTTGCGTCAAACGTGTTCGTTCCACGAGCGCCGAGCGCTTTGGCCCACCGCCCGCGTCGGCCGCCGCCGCTGTTGGCCCTCCGGCACGCGGGCGGCACCGGGCCAACGGCGCCCCGCCCCCTCGCCGGCCGCAGCCGCGCGCCGCCGGATATTCGGTCGCGGGCGCTGCGTGGGCTGGCTTGCGTCGCGGACGCGCTGGCGCGGGCGAGGAATGGGCGGGTTGTGAGGGGGTGGGGGGGAGAGGGAAGGAGCTCGGGTGGGTGAGTGGGTGACGGGTGGTACTGAGTGGGGGCACGGCGGGAGGCGCGCGGGCGAGTGGGGGCCGGTGAGCAGGCACGGACTGGCTAGGCGGGGGCGGAGGGCCACTTATTTGTGGTGGGTGGCCGGAGAGGAGAAAGGGGTCGGGCGAGTGAGTGGGGAACGGGTGGGGTTTGGTGGGCGATTGCCACGTGGGGGCGGGTGGGGAGTTTGCGAGTTGGAGTGCGAGTGAGGAGCGGATGGGCGCGACTCTGACAGTCGGCGGATGGAACGAGGTGGGCGGCGGATG